ACTCCAATACAAACTATACAAGGAAAGGCGCCCGAAGCGTAGCTTAGGACTCTGACCTTGTATCCGAATAGGACACAAACAACGCCTCTCAGCGCCTGGACTATAAAGGGCTGGTGAGGGTACCCATTGTAAGGAGAGAACGCATACCCGATACTCAAAGCAATACAACGCAAACAGGCTAACGTCAAAACTGGACATAAGGTTATTACTCGACCAAGTCGAGGGCCTGAACCAGTATAAATCGTGAGTCTCTTTGTGTAAACCACCGAATTCCGCTATTCGCCGAAGCCCGAACAACTGTTCCGGATACCCCCGTGTCAGGCTATCGGTGATAAAACATCGACAACTTCCATGATTCAAATTTTGTTCCAAAATAAAAGCTCACATAGGAGGTGATATAGGGCATGGGAGATGCAACTTGCACTAGTACTACTCTTGTCAGGTACAAACCCATCAGCGTGATCAACAAAATAAAAATAAAACAACTTTTCCTCTTGCCTGTCACATATTCTTAAAGCACAGGTCAAAGAACCGACCCAGTAGTGGAGCAAGGGGAGGCAATGGGGGCCATGCCTGCCCACCCCCCCCTAATAACAATACCTGCAGACGTGGTTTTTTTTCCTCAAAGAAAAGCCAACGGCCTTATCCCTCCGTCTATGTGAGTCTAGAATTGAAGCTCCCGTGCACTCGTTCGTGAGTTCCACACCGTAACTTCCAAGCCGCCGTCATGGTATGGCATATCAGAGCCTTTTTATGTTATTATTTTAATCGTGTATCTCCAAGATTATGTCACTTTAGTTTAGTTATGAATATAGACATACAACTATTTTTGAGATGGGAGTAAGGTCCCCTTTGGATCCAGATAAAAAAATCCGATGTACTTTATTGGATTATGTGCATGTATGTCAAAATCCATTAGAATCATATCCTGTTTGGATGAGATTTTAGGATCTTGAGATTTTTTTTATTCAAATTATTAGAATCGTAACCTAATGGTACCTACATATTGTGGGACAAAGGGGGCACTTACGTAAGCCAGGGCCAAACGGCCAAGGGATTCGAGAAGAAGGCAATTTTTTTACCGTTGTATTGATCGTACTGTACGTCATATACTGGAGCACGGGACGGATGATGGATATCTTAGGGTCTGTTTAGTTCAAAAAACTTTGCGTACTACGTATCTCATCGAATCTTACGGCATATGCATGGAGTATTAAATGTAGATGAAAAAAAACTAATTGCACAGTTGGGTGAGAAATCGCGAGACGAAACTTTCGAACCTAATTAGTCCATAATTAGACACTAATTACCAAATACAAACGAAAGTGCTACCGTAGCCAAAACCTAAAAAATTTTGCATCTAAACGCGGCCTTTAACACAAGTGTGTGCAACGCAAAAGTGCTGCAAGGAACAGTTGGCTAGCCCGGTGTCTAGATGGGATCCACCGGTAAATAGAAATTTACTGAGTTTGTCAATTTTGTAGTAAGCCGTGAGCAGTGAGCAGTGAACATGCTGCAAAGTCACTGTCAATCTGGCCCCACGAAACGTCACCTGGCCGCCTCACAGTCACAGGCAGGCGGCAGGCCGCAGTCAGCCGACAAATCACTGCAGTCACGCATGCCAAAATATGGCCGCACTTAAAAAAAAAAGAATCGCCAGAATTCCGTCCGAGTTCAGATTTGGATGTTTTTAAAGAAAGCGGACACCGAAATTCTAAGTTTTATAATTTGCATATGCTTCTTTCAATTGGGGAGAAATCCTCGTTTTTAAAGTGTTCCATGACTTTCACTCACTATTTAGATATGTATAATCATATCAAGTATTGTTGATTTAAAATACTTAAAATTTAGTATATATTATAGAAAGCTTCACTGTAGACAAAATTACAATAGATTTTGTAAATTTCAATGTTTTCGACCAGAGGACCGACATAAAAAGCTCGATAATGATATATAAAATAATAGCCATGTTTGGTACAACTTATAAACTGTTTATGGTCAAAATAAGCTGGAACTAAAAGCCAATCCATATATGGTTAGGCTATCAAATCTTGCCTTCTTCGTGTTAAAATAAAACTAACATGAGGGTTCTATTCATAAAACTTCAAAATGCGATTACTATTTATATAGGCGGGATAGATGGCGGATTGATTTTATAAAAAGTTAAAGGGCTTTTTTTTTGCAAAACATACATAGACGTGTGTCGAAGCCACCAATGCCTGGAATACTCTCGTGCGAGCATAATAGAGTTGGTTTTAACCACCCTGATATATATAACAATTTAATAAGGTCTGTTTGGATAAAGTATTTTTTAGAGTTTTAAAAAAATACCATGGTTTTGTGAAATACTTTGGTTTTAGAGTGCCATAAAGTGTTTGGGTGCAATAAATTTTATGGTTTTGATTACCATGATATTGCTGAACTGTAGTATTTCTGGAATTTTAAAACCTCCACTCTAGTCCTCTTTTTCCTAGACCACTGTTTTACACATCAATGATTCTAAAACTACAGTTTCTTAATACTGCAATATCAATGAAGGCCTAAGAATGTTCCGGATGGATAGAATCCTAAACTCTAAAAAAATCCCTGCGGACAGGCAAGGATGGCCGTAATGAAGGAAAAGTATAGGTATTGTGGTGCGCGACCGTGACACATTCACTCAGAAAGTGCTATGTATCGGTGAGTAGTGGCAGTGGTTTGCCTTTTCTTACGCGGAGATAACCTTGATATGCATGGTGGGTTGTAATAAGGGCGTGTTTGGTTCTCACCTCTTAAAGTTTACTCACCCCTGTTTGGTTTAGTGGATTAAAAGATGTCTTTTAGTCCCTTTTAGTCATGGTGTTTGGATCCAAAGTGACTAAAAGGTGAGGCAGTCTGACTAAAAGGTGGACTTTAGTCCCATTTAGCAACACTTGGATGATTAGTTGGCTAATACACTTTTTAGTTCTATTTAATCATAGTATTTGGATAAAAATGACTAAATAGAACTGGATTTATGAGATGAGGAGTGAACTAAACACCCCCTAATGCGTAGAACAATGTCGATGAGCATGGCGTTCCTCTCCCTTTTTCTCTGGGACAAAAAAAAGGGGAAGACGATTTCGGCGGATCCTACACCCAAGCATGAATCCATGATTACTGAAAAACCATGGCTCAAAGTACTGTTCACTTATTTGTTGTGAAAAAATGCTGTTCGTTCGTTGAAATAGTACGACTCGTAAGACGAGCGAACATGGTCTAAAAGAGCATGGGATGCCAGCATCAGTGCCTTCTCAGATTGATTGAAATTGAGTGATTCGTCGTGAGCCGGCGCGGCGGAACGGTGCGTTTCTCTGCGACGCGATCTGCGACGCGATCCACGCGCTTTGTGGTGGGGGGACGCGCGGTGATCGCGGGGGGCTCTCGATTGCCGCTTTGGGTGGCTGCCACTCACGACGGAATCTCCTTTTCCTCACAAGTGATTGCGGCGGGCGAAGTGGCACAATTGTTTTTGGTGGTCTCGTACGTGGTGCACCTTTCTTTGCCTTGTGCCCCGCCATCGGCCTGCATCCTGAGTGGTGGCACCGCGCACCGGGCACGTACCTACCTGATGAACTGCTTGTCGGTTATATCCATGCATTAGATCTATCACCCCAGTTGATGACAGATTGACGCGGTAGTGAAGATAGCATGCATACACATAAAGTGAACTCTCTAAAGGCTAACAGCCTAATTAAGATACGAGATCAGCTTGGCAAATCTCTTCTAGGCTAACTAGTATAATTTTATTTATGGATCGACGACCAAGCATCATGTTCTAAAGACTAATTTTAAACACAACTTGAGCAAGTACCTCTTTATTTGTTGTGTAGTCAAGGGTATTTTCAATGTTAAATATGTTTATTTCACTCGCCGGTCGCAAATGCGCATATTTCATGCGAAAAATCGTGTGACTTGTGACTTGCGACACACAGTGATCGGACTTCCTTGGTAAGGGCTTCCCTGGATTAAAAAAAATATTTTACTTTGTGCGCTAGATTTGTGATTTTCTGAAAAATAATTTGTGGATGCAGCTCAAAATCGATTCGTAGAGACAACTCGTGTTTTCAACCATCTCTATAAATTAATTTCTTGGTGCAACTAGATAGCTGCTTCTACAATCCTTTGAAGAGATAGATAGATAGATAGAGGCAGTTGAGTCTGCCGCCTCTGCAGATCCTTTACATAACAATGTGTATGTGACTCTTTAGGAATATTGTTTATATGTATGTTGTACATACCATTCTTTCATTTAATGAAAAATAAAAAAATATAGGTAGGGGATTCCCCTGATGCTTCGGTCAAAAGAAAAACATTGTTTATACCTAACCATCCATCTAAAAATGAATGCGGTCACGCTATACGCGTTGGCATGATTAAATAGACATACTAATGTTGCCACGAACACTTTCCATGTGTGTCACTGACGTGGTGGTCGAGTCACGCCACTCTATTTTGCATGATACATTTCAAAACAAAAGGATCTAGCTAGTGTTCTCTAAAATCTTCGTGTAAATAAAAAAATAATTACCAATGAATTAAATGTCTTTTACCAATATATCACAATAATCATTTGTTGAATATATGTGCAAATTTATATATAGCTATGCTAAGCATTGTGCGCGTATGGTTTGCCTTCTTTTTGGTTAACACTTGCAACATTTGAGTTGTTACAAATTATTTCGTATTGTAGATACTTCATTTGTTCCAAATTATAAGTCGCTTTGACTTTCTCAGTACATAGCAAAGTAATGTATTGAAAAAGTCAAAACGACTTATAATTTGGAACGGAGGGAGCAGTAAATATGCATTGTGTCGTTCACTTTAGTGGCGGCCATAATGCATGATCGAATATTCAGAAACTTTTTCTTGGGAATTAATCATTGTCGTGAACGGAATTATACTAGAGAAGTTGAGAACGTGCCATATGTACTTAATCCCTGGAATGGTAGCGGGTGACATTAGAATCTTGATCCATTGTGATGACTGAGGGATTGGTCCTTGTTTCTCCTTTATGGGAAAAAAGCAGTGGGGGACAGAAGACAGGATGCTGGATTGCTGCTGGCGTAACAGTGATCAACGCAATACGACACTACTGCCTGGAGATGGGCTGGGCTTTCAACTTTAAGCCTAGCCCATCCGCACGGGGAGCCCATCTCTTCTTCGTCTGCGACTGCGAGCGAGCACCGACCCCCGAGCAGAGGGCACAGAGAACGCAATCTGCAAACGACTGGCTCACAGGTCACCTCGCCCGCGCCTCCCTCACCAAGAACTTGCCCAGTTTACATGTCTGTACTTCCTAGCCGCTCAATTTTACAGCGCAGAGCAGGAAGCATCAGCTGCACGCCTCTCGCCTCGCTTGCCGCCTTCGCTCCTTCCAAGAAACGGTTTGCTAGCTAGCTACCTTGCTTGCTATGGCCGTTCTTGCGCTCAGGCTGGGTTTCGTGGCTCCGCCTTATCCTAGGACCAGCAGCGGCAGGTTCGCCTTCTCCCCCTCGTCCTGCCGCGCCGTCGCCAACGACGCGGGGGTTGGAGGACCCGCGCGCCCGATCACCGTCGACGGGGACCCGCCCACCGTCGTCTCCGCGCCCAGCCGCCGCATTGTCGCCAGTACGTACGTCAGTCGTCTACTCTAGCTAGCCCATCCACCCATCCCATTTCATTCAATCAATCGTTAAAGTTCATTACTCGCACGGTATAGACTGCACGTTCGTGTATCAAATCAAACGTCAATCTCGCGCGCAGTTGGCGATGTCCATGGTGATCTCTCCCAGACGAGAGCCGCGCTGGTGCTGGCCGGCGTCCTGAGCGCGGAATCAGAGGGCCATCTGTGGACAGGCGGACGCACGGTAAATCCCCTCCTGCCTTCCATATATCTGGTTCAGTTCTTTAGCATTGCACGTTTCTTCAGTGCATAAATAATATTGGTCCGTTATACTGATACTGTACTTATTTCTCAAGTTTGCTGCTACATCACAATAGCCTCTGCAGTTTCTCTGCCTCCCCACTGAAATTCTGAAAATAGATGTATAAATGATATGCTTGTGTCATTATAGGTACTTGTTCAAGTTGGTGACATCCTTGATCGTGGTGAAGATGAAATTGCCATACTCTCCCTGTTGAGCTCACTCAACATGCAAGCCAAATCTCAAGGCGGTGCTGTATTTCAGGTCTGCCTACGTCTACCACTCTGCTACTCCTTGTATGCCACTAGCTCTGAATGAATACATGGACCCTGATTTTTCTTCAACAGGTTAACGGAAACCATGAAACCATGAATGTGGAAGGCGATTTCCGCTACTGTGATCCAGGAGGCTTTGATGAGTGCGTACGCTTCCTTGACTACTTGGATGAATGTGACGGCAACTGGGATAACGCATTTCTCAACTGGATAAATGTCTGTGAAAGATGGAAGAAAGAATATGGAGCTCTGCCTAATGGCGACTGGCGTCCATGGGACTTCGTCAAGGTAAACAAGAATCTTGTGCTGGTCACTTGGTAGACAATAAATAAACCAACTCCAAATAAGCACTAATTCATTTACAGAATTGTTTTGAAAAATAAAATGCACTGATGAGGCTACATGTATTCTCTGCTTCTGAAATGTTGGCCTTCCAATATTGTGACAGAAGCAGAAAGGCTTTGCTGCAAGATCGTCTCTTTTCAAGCGAGGTGGTCCGCTAGCTTGTGAATTGGCACGGCATCCTGTTGTCCTCAAGATCAATGACTGGATATTTTGTCACGGTGGCCTTCTTCCTCACCATGGTGAGCCCCTTTACCTCCATTTACGTCTTTGTTACCCTTTGCAGTTTGCATACGTGATCTTAGTCTAAGACACAAAATCACAAATCGGGTTCAGGGTCAGAACCTGCCTGACAGGATCACTGCATAAACCAAATGCAGAAGAGGCTCTTGCTTGAGCCTAGGCATTATCAAGCAGGAATCTTGTGATATAACAAAATTTCAATTCAATCACAAATGTTTTTTTTAATAATACATATTGCATCAAGTGAACCTAAGTATCTCAATTCGCTCTCTTCCTATTTGCAGTTGAATATGGGATTGAGCGTATGAACAGGGAAGTATCAATTTGGATGAAATGTTCAGGCGAAGACAACGATGATGAGACAGACATCCCCTTCATAGCTACTAGAGGTTATGACAGCGTGGTGTGGAGCCGATTGTACTCACAAGATCCTGCTGAAAGAACACGCCGTGCTTTGATGGTAAGAAAAAAAAAATCTAAGCCGTTAAGTATACGACACTTCCTCATGTATCATGGAGATGTGTGTCAGAGACCTGAAAAATTCTTCTGAAATTCACAAGTTTTTAGACAATTGTTCATATTGGTTTCAGCTATCTTCTATTGTTGCTGAACAAACGCTAGAAGCTGTAGGAGCCAAAGGGATGGTAGTAGGGCACACACCCCAGATGCATGGAGTGAACTGGTATCTGTTTCTCTTAATCTCAATCGGTGATTTGATTTAATAAGTATCTTAATGGAGATTTATGAGATACCAATTAAACTGATGGATAACTTAATCGTTGACTACTATTTTGTTATCAGTAAATGTGATGGCAAAGTCTGGTGTGTTGATGTGGGCATGTCCTCTGGTATTCTTTACTCAAGGCCAGAGGTGCAGTCTTCTCTCTGAGATTGAAATCTCTTAGAAAAATAAGATTCCTTAAGACAATGAAAATTTGAAAGGACTGCTGAACTGCTGATTCTCGTCAAAAGATTCTATTTGTTGCTGTTTGACACTGGAACATGTTGCTAACCTATTCAAGAGCTGTATTTGGTGATCCTATGCATCACATTAATACTAACTTTATCTTATGTAACCTGTGTGTCCAAATAACGACATCATTTCTGGTAGCGAAACCTTTTTTTTAAGTAAATGACTTGCTCTTTTTCCATCTATAAAATTCCACCCTTCATGATTGTCAATCTGTAGATGCTCATACAGATGTTTTTTCCCCTTATTCTGTGATGACTCAGATTTCAGGAAAAAAAGCACTATTTTGGTTGTTGATGTATGACTTTTGTAATATAGGTCCTAGAAATAGTCAATGACAGACCAAGGGTTTTGAAGAAGCGGAGAGAATTATATGATGAGATGGAAGTGTTGGACTATTTGTAAAACCTTGAGAAACTTATGTAAGCACTCTTTCATCTCAACCTTCATCATTCATACATGAAAAAATGAAGATTGCCATGCATGCTGGTTGTGGAGCATTTGGAAGATACTCTCTACCAAATTTATTCTGTTGTGTTCTTGAGAGTTTTGATAGTTGCTTTGATATATGAAAGATTTCTATTTACATTCGAATGGCATCATAAATCCAGGAATATTTTTTTTTTGCCAGATGAAAAATTCTTAGTAGAAATAATCATGTGACTGCAGGTACATAATAGAAACATTAATTGTCCTGAGAGGTATCGTACCAGACAATTTGGATCGGAATACTGGACGCAATATGGTACAGAGAGATATATATAAAATCAGAAGGAAGGTTTTGTCACTATGGCTAGTACGTTTCCTTCACTTAAGAATTTGTACATGTTTGAGTCAAATTGTGCTGCACTACAAATTTTATAGGTTGCAGGCCACTACATATGTCTTAAGCATGTATGCTACTATGATTTTAGATATGCAGTTATTTCTAACAAGAATTCAAGAGCTTTCAAGGATCCTGTAAAAAGTAGCAGTTAGAGTTTTTTTTTAATAAGAGTTGAACTACTGAATCCATTTAGTATTAATAGTCCGCATTATTATCCACAGAAGAAAATATCTGAAGTACCAGCATCAATTTCCTCAAGTACATGCATTTTTTTATAGGAAAAAGTATTATGATATTATTTTTTCTAGGATTTTCCTAAGGCACTTTTTAAGGGCTTAATGTAGAATATTTCCATAAACAAGATCAGTTTTAGTCACCATACTGACAACATCTTCAAAAATTGTTATGTAGATTAGTGCTTGTAGGAAACCAGATGCAAATATGGATCTAAATCCGAAAGCCGCTTGTTTCGCCAAGTCAGATGAAAGATTAGTGGTGCTTATTTGTATCGGCATTCAAGCATTGATTATAGCCTAATTCAGAGCTGTAGGCATCAGGAATCGTGCAAGTAGTAGAATGAGATGGAGAAGACATGAATATGCTGGGGTCTATCATGTAATTGCTTCGTTACCAGAAACAAATTAGATCTCTTCCTTTCATGTGTTACTGGAAACAAATTTGAAAAAGGAAGGTTTGTATATAATCTGCAAGCAGTACTGTAACAGCATTACAACAAACCACAGATGAACATATCATGGAGCTCATCTTTGTTTGGATTGTTAACAAGTTCTTTTGATACTTTTTTTTGGCAATTCTGACTCTATCTAATATCGTTACTATATCTGTTTGGTATTTTTCTCTCAGTTCACTTCTATTTGTGTTTATGAAGCGAATTTGAGTAGTTCACCTAACATTTTAAAACCAAAATGAAAATCCTGGGCTGCTTCAGCCCCTGCCAGATACAAAGCAATCATGGCAAATAGTGAGTCTCGATTTCATCGAAGGATTGCCTCGGTCCTCAAACTATAGTTGCATTCTGGTTGTTATGGACAAACTAACTAGATAAGTAGATATGCTCACTTTGTGGGATTAACACACCCTTTCACTGTGTGGCAAGTGGCAAAGGCTTACATGGACCACATTTGCATGTTACACGGTCAGCCCCGATATGTTCTCTCTGAGACTCTGACTGGGACTGTATCTTCAGTAGCACTTTATTGAAGTTTTTTTTTTTTTTTTTTTTTTTTGCGAAGGAACTGTATCTTCACTAGCACTTTATGGAAGGAACTGTTTAAACTGACGGGCAAACCAAAAAGGGTGAATCAATACTTGGAAGGTTATTTGCCATGCTTTGTGGACACGGGTCGGGGTAAATGGTATTCTTGGCTCTCTCTTGCTGGTCACCCTCAACATGTGGTTGCCCTCCCTTTGAAGTCTGTATGGTCACCCTCAACATTTTGGCCTGGCTGATTCCATGGCCTGTTCAGTACCAGAGCTAACCACTTGGTTACAACAGAGGAAGCTGAAAACAGCTCTGCTACTTCAACACTTGGAACGAGCTAACACAAGGCGGACTGGAAGCATTCGGACAGAGAATTCAGGATGGGCAAATGGGTCTGTATCAAATTGCAGCACTACATCCAAACCTCCATTTCAGGTCTTGAACAAGATTGGCAAGATGGCGTACTGTCTGAACATTCTCCGTCTAGCAAGATTGATCATGTGATCCATGTCTCGTAGTTGAATCAAGCTCTTATGCTGGCTGATTCTGTGCATCGGACCCTGCCTGCATTCCTGGGGAAGAGAAGTATTAAAAAAAAAGAGTATGTGTCTGTTCCAGTGAAGATTCTGCAGCAACTACGGGGGCTTCTACCGCCATATAGGTTCTAGTCCAATGGTCTGATCAAAGATGCGTCCCTGGCAACCTGGGAGGACTATCGCTTCCCCGAAGGCCTGACTTTTTTTTAACGAAAGCCATCATGGCAACTTTATTGATTCCAAATAATAGTTACATCATCGGTTAATTGTACCAAAATAAAATTTAGAGGATCCCATTCCCAATAAATGGACAACAGGGCAATGATCCTTAAGAGTTTACAAGCTAAAATATGCACTACTTTATTGGCTTCCCTTGGACAATAATTAATCAAACTTAATATTAGAAAACCCACGACATAAAAATATACACTCCTCGTAGATAGCAGATGCAACACCAATTGAATTGCCTTTCATCTTTATAATCTCCACCGCTTCTAAATAGTCTGATTGAATAATGAGTCTTGGGCATCCTATCTGACCCGCCAACCGAAGACCATCTCGTCGAGCAAATGCTTCAGCCGTTGAAGCAGAATCCACGTTTGGAATGCCACAACTTCTTGCAACAATGAAGACCCTAGACTCGTCTCACAAGACAAGACAAAACTAGTGGCTCCCTTTTGTTCTCCGCTTGAGAAAGCCGCATCAACATTTAGTTTCACAAATTCTCCGCCGACTTCTTCTATCCGTGCCTTGTGATTCCCACATTCTTCTTCCTCTTCGATCTAGCATAGTTCTGACAAGAAGAGCTGATATGCTTGCGCCGACCACACCGACTTCTGTACTAGTTGGTCATGTGTTGCTTGTTACCTCTTCCACCACATATACCAAGCTGTTACTGCTATTAATTCTCTCCATCCTACCTCTGATAACCTTGGAGCCACAATCATTTTTTTGTGCAAATGGAGGTTTTGGAGTTTGGCTGGGGCTTGAGGCGTGTCTTATCTCCTTGCCCTTGCGCCAGTTGGTATATATCTAAAAAGTTATTAGGCGCGTGAGTTTTTATTCCTACTAGGTGTTTTGTGTGTGTGTGTGTGATCAGTATGGGGATCTAATCCTATTTTTGCTTTTAATATAGTGATACACAATTCTCCCACGTGTTCGTGAAAAAAAAGGTCTAGGATTGAAGATCCCATTCTGTCAGCTGAACTAGCTTTCATTACTGCATTTCTCGAACACTGGAAAAGAGCACGATGAATGTTCTCACATTCCATTTTGCATAATGGACTTTGGCTACTAGTGATAATCTGCCGATTTGCCAAAATGTCAGAGGAAGCTCAGTAGCAAGTATTCGGCCTCAGAGTGGGTTGCGTAACAGGAGAGTAGAGTAGAGAGAGAGAGAAGAGCAAGCGACATGACATACGTAAACATCTATCCTATGTCCTCTGCCTTCCTAACTTGACGCACAGGTTGATGGAAGAATTTGCTCGAAAAAAGTTGGAAAATTTGACCCGCAGCCGCACAGGCCTCGGGCTATACAGAATTACAGATTGTCAGCCGCAACGTTCAGCTTCAGCAATCAGCATGCAGTGCATTCCAATCACGTACGCGGCAAGCGCAGCCCGGTGCAAGGGACCGAACCTGACCTGTGACCTCCATCAACTTTTTCCAAAGTCGATAATGAGAGAACTTTTTCGGCCGTCCAAACCATCCCTTTCTGCTATTTGATCCTTCGGCATCTTAAGGATGGCAATGGGTCGGGTTCGGATTGGGTGGAGTCTCCGTGCACCTAAAACCGAAACCCGAAATCGAAACCCGAATCCGCCCCGAAAACCGATTTGGGTGGAAATTCATCACCAAAACCAAACCCGCGGATACCCGAAACTCAAACGGATACTCGAAACCCAAATGGATACCCGAAACCCACGGATATATATACACATATTCACATGTATAAACAAGAGGCAACAAATAATAAATATTTTCATGAGTCAACTTTAAATAAATTTAATAATCTAAGTAAACAAATTATTATTAGTAGTTTTAATTCCAAATAATTTATTTCGGATATCCATTGGATATCCACGGGTAGAAAACCAAACCCGAAACCGAACCTGATTGGTTTTAGGGGCCCGAACTCGAAAACCATGGATGAAAAACCATCCCCAAATCCGAACCCGAAACCCACAGATATTCGTCCCAAACTCGATCCGTTGCCATCCTTATCTCAGATACAGCTAATGTAGCGTGGATGTCAGTCCTAGCTTCACCATGGAGTTCTGCGCATGCCGATCATTAATGTTTTTAGACGTAGTTGTTCTAAATTTGACCGGGTACTGTGTGTTTTTTTTTGACAACAACACATATATATTATATTATCACAGCAGCCATTTTACAGAGAGGTCCTCCGTGGCAGACTAAATTACAATAAAACCCTGCATCTGAAAGCAAAGACAGCAACATAGATGGCGTTGGAGAAGACAAATCCGTCGGCGGGGGTTGAGGGGTGTCGTGGACGCGTGCACCCGGGTGGACTGACTGCGCAAAGCGTCAGTAAAAGACGGGTCGGTTGAGCCGAAGGAGGAGCAGCACACCGGCGACCGAAGGATGCAGTTGAGCCCGTCGTCGGAGGTTGAAGAAGGAGCTCGAACCAGGATCCCATGTGAAGGCGGAGCTGTGGGACCAACACCAGGAGGGGATCGGAGCCGCCTAACTGAAGAAGGGGTTACCAGAACCGAAGGCTGCTGTGTAGCGAAGAACGCGGGTGGCGAAGGTTGTGGATCAGAGGGAAGCGGATCTCGGTGGTAGGTGGAGATGGAGTCGGAGGTTGAGAAGAGATCCGCATAGCAGAAGATCGAGATTATTTTATTTCCACTGACCTTGGAGGCGACGTCGTCGGAGCCGAGGAAGACCATGGCAACGACGGCGGTGGCTGCATCTCCAAGATAGGGCTTACCCATCCGGGTCACTCTAGGTACTAAAAACTACCTCTAAGTACTAGAAACTACCTACTAGGAGGGGCCCCCCACCCTGCCGGCTCCGGCGAGCACACCGAGGAGGGAGAGAAGGGGCCGGCTAGATCCGCTCGGAGCTCTCGAGAGGGAAGGAAGATGGGTTCGCTTTTGGGGGCTGCTCGTACAACGCGATAAAAACTGTTTAGACTAGATATACGAGTAGTCAGGTGTGGATCTAGCACCAAAACGCGATAAGCTCGAGCCCTTCCTATCGCTACTCGAAACATGGGTAGTGTCACTAGACATCATCGTTCAAATAAAACACATGCGCGCACCTATCAATAAATATTCAAGTTGTGGATGCACACACTCAGGGTCTTTTTTATCCCAATTAAATTATAGCAATCTAGAATATAGATGAGATTATAATCATCTAAATTATGAGTTACAATAGTTTAGATTGTCTGGATGCCTAAATTATAGAGCGGATTATTATTAGTTAGGATACAGGTGACCTATATAATCTCCAAACAGTAGGTTTGAGAGATTATATGATTATTGTAATCCGGCAGTTGTACTATTATAATCAAACCCATAATCTACGGTGTTTGATCATCTTCAGATTATTCCATCTGATTACTATAATCCAGTTGGGATCAAGCACCCTCTGAAATTTATCTTCTGTCACATCTTGCTGACAATGAAGCCAATAGCATCAAGAAGACGCTATTATTTGCTTTTGAGATACAATTAATATAGCTCGCATCATGTGGAAACGATGTTAGCTAATTTACCTATATTATATATAAGCAGTAAAGTACATTCTACATCTTTCATACAAGAGCAGGTAAAATGGTGCTTTTAAACCCAAGAGGACACGGGTATAACGATAAAATTTGACGAAATTGAGCAAGTGGATACTGAATAGCCTCGAACGGCCGTGGACTTACAGGGACAGAGTGTTTGATGTTGAGAGAAAACTTGTTATCATATCATTTGAAAACGACGTTAGTTAATTTACCTGTTAAGCGTCCTCGGAATTGGTACATACATTTTACGTCTTTTACAGAAGAGCACGTATGATAGTGCTTTTAAATCCAAAAAAGTCAGATATGTGATGATAAATTTGAGAAAATAAAGCAATTGGATTACAAGGACAATAACAAGATGCTACAGAAGGAAAAGGATGGCAAAAATGGCCATTCTTCCCCTGTTCTGAATGTTAATTGTCATTTTGCATCATTTTCTAACGTTGTATTTTATCCTGTTTTCAAAATGAAGATGATGCTTTTTTTTTTGCAACGTCCGAGAGTCCAAACGGCCCACACCTCAAATCCAAACCCCTTGACCCACGGCTGATCTCTACTCATCTATACATAAAAATGGTTAACCTTATTAGTTGGTGACATTAGATCCTACTCACTCCTATAAAAGGGTTAACATTGATTAGTAACATTGGACTCTAAAAAAAGACCTACTGTTGGTCTAACCAATCTTCAATAGTTAAGATGTGAGTACTATACACTCATATCAGTATTAGTATACATATGAGTCACCATGAGCCTACCCCAAATTAGATCGTCTCATTTTTTTTCTAATAGTATAAGTGGTGTGGAGCTAGATAAATGAATTAGAAACAATTAGAAAAAACGTGAGAAAATCACCTACCTCCTTATCTTCCAACTCCATCCATGAACTCTAGCGGCGTCGGCGTGCGGCGGCTACGGGTGTGTGGCACGACGGCAAATCAGGAGGGTGGTGCTCAAAGCGTTCTCCACTATATCCAGTCTGGCAGTCTCCTCCATGGTCCTGCTTTGCCTTTTTCCTTTTCATACAAGTGCTCTGATTTTGGGTCATGGAGGAGAGTACAATTTTAAAAGAAAATGGAGCAACATTTTTGTCTACATCCTAGTCGTCCGCAAAACTTGATACAATGCATTTTTTTTTATCGCAAGACACGATTTAAACACCTTCCTCTACGTGCCTACCTAACACCGTTTCCAGACACTAAGGCTAGCTGCAAGCGTCATGCGTGTATGAAAGCAGCCGATTGGGCTAATCATCTGTAACTTCCATATTCCAAAATAAATAGTGGTGCTTTTTTCTTTTTCAATAGAAGGAGGAAATAATAATAATGGTACTTTTCATCCATAGTCGGTATTCAGCACGAGCGTTTATTTGCCCAATGATCAAGACATGTATATGTGGCATTCGTCAATCTAATTAAAAATGACATGTATATGTGGTATTCGTCAATCCAATTAAAAAAGCGACAGACACGTGCACGTGTGTCATGTATGTGGGCGTACATGTCTATATTGGGTTTTAAAGAAAAGGTACCTTTGGATTTTGAGAAAAAGTTTCTAGTCTGTTGTTCATCTTCAAATCTCGCCATCTTGTATCCTTTCCAGAGGAATCAGTTGGTTGGCTTTTGACATGACAATCTCGACCTCTTCTTTTGGTCTACTCTACAACAAGGTCTGTCATCTTCCAAACTCTGTTTTGATGCTGAAGGATTGTACCTGCGTTCCTTGGAGGATTCTTCCGGTCGATGTTCTTTCAATGTGTACTAGATCTCGTTGTTAGTAACGAGTAACTTTTGCAGTCTTCAAAGTCTTGTCTGACGAGGGCGTGTCCCTTTTCTTTGCTATCTCTTTAATACGATCTTCAAGCTTCGCAGTGGATGATCGAAGGAACAAGACCACCAACTTGGTTTTTAATGTACTCTTATTTTTTATGGGATGTCGTTTTATATTTTTGTCCATCTTTTGTATGGCAATTGTTTTCTTGTGGTATATGAGTTGTGAGACACTCTTTTGAGTGTCCTTTTATCAAAAAAGAAAAAGAAAAAAGAACGCAGAATCGAAAGCTCAAAATAAGCACTTGTACTTTAGGTTTAGACTATAGATGTGGGTATTATAGTTAAATTTGGAAAGTATACTGATGATGAAAGTTGCCAGCTAGGACATAGTATTTTCACAGTCACAAGTCGTATATATTCCATTTTAAATTTTATAATCTGGCCCTCCTATACCCTTGTGCATACCACATCATCAGAAAATTGAATGCAAATACTCCCTTTTCTAAATAAAGAACTGAAATATCACCTCGGAAAGAGAAAAACTAGCCATGACTGAAATGTCTGTCGTCGTCTAGTCTAGACACAAAAGGCTAGGTAGCTTAGCTAGACGCAGCCGATCCTGTGAAGCCAATCCTCCGTTGTGGCCGATGAATTGGACAGCGTCGTCATCGCGTCGGCGCCGTGAGAGTGAGACCCCTGGAGCACGCTGCAGGCGACGAGCCTGTTGGCGGCCTCCGTGTAGTGCACCCCATCCCAGGAGACGTACTCAGACGGGTCCGCGCACGCCGCCGCCCCCGCCGCGCCGCAGAACGCAGCGTCGTCGTAGTTGTAGGCGCCGCCGCCGCCGCCGCAGCATGCGTCCAGCGGCCTGTGCCTGAAATCTGCGTGGGAGGAAGAAATCAAGAATCGATCAGGAACAAAGCATGGAAATGAAGAAATCTGTTGGCGGTTGCGTGCGTGCAATGCATGCGCACCGTATTCGCGGGGCGACACGATGATGTCGTTGACTGCTCGGTAGAGGTCCGCGTAGACGATGGTCGTGCCAGGGTGGGCTCGCCGGAGGCCGCCGAGCGCGCGGCGCAGCTCGCGGTTGTGCAGCTCGGCGAGGCCGTTAAGAAGCGTGATGCAGCCGGACTCCGGGTCATACCCGGCGGCGTCGACGCTGCCTCTGTAGAGCGTGAGCAGCTGCGGCTCGCAGCCCAGCGGTATCATCCCCGGGACCAGCACGGCGCTTGCTCCGGCGGCGATCACGTCCTGCACCGCACGTCGGCACGTGTAAAAATGTATGCCACGCCACGCACGCCAAACAAACGTGTGACCGCTGGTGGTGACTCCGATTTTCACCGCGTCGATCGGAAGAGAAAACGACCTTGACCAGAGTAGGTGGAGGCGATAAAGAAGGAACTTACGGTGATGACCGAACGGATGGCACTGACGACGTGAGGCACGAAGGTCTCCACCTCGCCGACGGTGCGGTTCTCGTTGAGGCCGATGAAGTAGTCGTTGACTCCGATCTCTCCGACGAGGAAGAGGGAGGTGGCCATAGTCTTCCTCTGCTCTGCGCCAAGAAGTCGTAAAACATCGTTGAACCAGACGGTCTGGTTCCTAAGCGAAACCGGCACGAACGACCCCAATCCTCTGCTCTCAAAGAAGTGCAGGTCAAGCGCCGTCGCCCCGCCGAACGCGAAGTTCACGCCGCGCCGGAAATCCGCCGCCGTCTTCCCGGCGAGGTACGGCGTCGGGTGCGGTACGCCCAGCGCCTCGACTGCGGCACACGGACACGTCACAGTTACTTTGGTCGGTCACATCACATGGAAATAAACGGTGTGGGACGTGTGTGGTGGCCGGCCGGTCGGTTGGTGGTGCTCACCGAGGAAGTCGATGACGAGGCGGCCGTCGGACGCGCGGCCGGTAGGGCGACGGAAGAAAGTCTCGCCGTACGGTGGCCGGCTCGCGGGCCCGCCGGCGGTTGCTGAGAGGTGCAGCGCGTTCCCGGTGTCGGTAAGCGAGTCGCCAAAGCTGAATACGCGATCGTAGCGCGTCAGGGGGCCACCGTTGCCGGCTGCGGCGGCGGCGTGTAGAAGCGCCACCACGGCCACGAGGAGACGCGACGAACCTGGCGCCATTTCAATTCGCTTGCTTTTCAGGTGTGGTTGGCCTGAGCCGTGCGGTGCGGTTCACTCGCACGACAGCAGGACTATTTATAACAGTAGCAGGGGTGCCGTTGATCCACGAGAGGCCTGACGCGATGCGTGTGTCGTGAATTGTGATTCGTTCTTGGAGTTCTAGAAAGCAGCGGTGTGCCCGCTTTGATTTGTAGTGTACACGAGGAAATTGGGAAAAGCTATGGGAATTTCTCGTTGAATTGAATATTTGTGGAGTTTTTTCTCGGATGTAATAACAAGGATATGAACCTCTTCAAGCAGCGAAGTTGCAGTTGATCTGCCATATTCGATCGCGTGTTTCGGTGTTTTCAAGAAAGGAACGAACAATTAGCGATCCCCCCCCCCCCCCATTGAAGCCCGCTGCGGTGGCCTAGCAAGCGGAGGGTGGGGTGGAGAGGGAGGAGGTGAGGAGGCGGTGGGGACGAATGTCGGTCCGCGAAGCTTCGTGACAGCTCGGATAATCTCCTACAATTAAAAATAAAGAAAGTAAGACTGTTTCGTCGCTCCGTCGGTCCGCCCCTCCGCCTCCTCCTCCCCCTCGCTGCCTCCTCCGGCTGGTCTGCGCATGCTCGACGAAACCCTAGCTGCTCCTTCGTCGCTGCCAATGGCGGCAGCGTCGTCTCAGCTCGTCATCTCGATCTGGCGGTACGTCGCCCCCTTCTCTTCTCCCTCGTGGACGCGCAGTTGCCGGCATGCGGGTTGCGGCAGGCATATGTGCTGCCGTGGCTGGCCTACAGTGTGTGGCTGCCTGCGCTGTGCGCCTGCGTTTGCCACCTGGTCAGTGCGAGGAGGCAGCAGGCGGATGACAGCAACAGGCAGCGGCCGCGTGCGGTGCCTCTGGCCCTGTTGCCTGCAGTCGGCTGGCCTATTGTCCTGCCCCTGCTTTGGGGATTCCTTTGGAATTTTTTCCCACAATTTTTTTTACCAATTTCTTGGTTGAATCGATGTATCTGAACTATGTGTGCTCATGGACAGCGGCATGGGTCCAGAACATGAAGTTGAAGCCGGGCATGGGTCTAGCAGAGGTGTGGATGGGGAACGAAATGATGCCATGTCAGGTGCTCCTCTTGGTTCACAATCGAGGTGTGGATGGGGAACGAAATGATGCCATGTCAGGTGCTCCTCTTGGTTCTCAATCGTGCCTTGCTTTATCAACTTTACTTTTAGGCGTGTTTTTCCTTTTTTTACTAACTCAATTTTGTTCCATTGAATTTCACGGCAGGTTTTTTTGACATAGGTAAATGCAACGGAAATGCCCCAACAAAAAAATATATTAGAATATAGAAATGGTCGCTCTAATTGTTTGTTGTCCATTGCAATTTAGTGTACCCATTTTGGCATGCTTTCAATGGTTTGTAGAGTTATTTGCTATTAACGTTGCAACATGATCCTTATCTGCTCTGTATGAATATTGCAGTACTACCTGTATTGTTATCGTCAAAACTGCTCGCTGAGATGGAAGTTGACGAAACTACGAAGAGAGAGTGACTCTTGACTGGAATAACTAATCTACCGGTGCCTACACAGTTTCAAAAATTAAAGGTGACCAATTTAGTATGAAGAATGAAAACCTATAGCATGTGTTGCCAGCTTCATTTCTCAGCTATCTATAATTAGAATGAACCTGGCATCGTTCCTTCGAGGTTAGAATAGACATGATTAGAAGTGCATGTGAAACTGCTGACAAAATAATTGTTGAATTCTGTAAGAGCTATGGGTTGGAAACCCGTCACGGGTTCGTTCTGTTTGTCATGACATAAATCATCTCCCCATGGTGTTCGTAGGATAGTTATATATCATAGGAAATGGCAGTAACCAAACTCAGATAAATGTTTGGTATTTCTGTCTCAGTTTTCAAATTTGTTGCCTTCATACTACTTGCAGGCATCAGGAGGACAGTTACTTCGTTGTCTATCTTTGTATTTTACCTCTTTAGTCACTCCACATAATTCTGTTCCTTTTTTAGTGAGACAGCTCGACATACCTATCTTCTGAACCAATAATTAATATACATCATTCTGCCCATGACAGACCCTACAGCCTGTCGATATGCACTTACCTTCATGTAATCAGTGTTAATGCTATATTTGTTTGTGTGACAGTTATGTTCCGAATTTTCTGTGTTTCTTTCGGTACAAAAAAAAGTTTCAGGTCAAGGTTACAATGGCCTTTTCCATTTCCCTTCATCGACTTGATGTGTTTGATACAAATGCGACTGTGACTGTTTAACAAAGGCCATATCTAAGATTCAATTTTAGAGACCTATGCAGTGCCTTCATGAAGACGTAGAGTAAGGTATAATCACCTAAAGTAGATCTTTCTAGAGTTCAACTATGCAGAGCAAAACCACCATATTAGTTCATTGATTCATACCTATTGTGACCTGTCAACTGTATCAGACATGACCCATCCTGCTACACATTATTGCAAACTATCCGTATGTTAATCAGTCAGTTCAAAAAAGGAAGATTGGATTTGAACTCTTGCAGTGTCACCTTTGTTTCCTTATGAACACAACAAAATATCCCAACTTTAGACTTTCAATGTGCTGCTTACCGAAACGCTAGGCTTATTTTCATAAATGACTGCATATTTTGATTTATGTCATGTAATAGATAACATGCCCTGGATCACCAAACTTTCTATCATTCTCTTCACTTGTTTATTCAGAATAGTAGCAATAGTCTTTTTGCTAATATAGAGTAGTATTCTTACATCTGTTATTTTTGTCGTCACTTATGCCAGCAACATCTAAATATTTGTTAGTTCGTCAATTCCTGTAGGTTAAGATTTTCAAAGGCAACAATGAATGAGCATTCTGACAAGGTCGAAGAACCTGCTGCAATGCTTGCTATTGAAGTGGTATGATTTTTGTTGTCCAGCTTTATCTCCTTACAGGTCACTCACTACCTAGGTAGCGAAAAAAGAGGGTTACCAAACTCTTATGAATATTGGTATGAGTCAGGCCTATTTTGCTAATTCCTTTGTGTTTTTACTTTGTGGCACAATTTATTTGCTAAATTCCTTCCAATGCAAAGCTTCTGCTGCTGAAACAACCAGACAGATTGCAACTACTCCAGCACCTATACTTGGCATAAGAGATGGTTAAGGTCATTTTGCAAAAAACCAGCCAAATGATTTCTATCAACGATACAATCGATTATGCTGGAATTTCGGTACAGACTGTCTACAATTTCATGTTAAGATAGATTGTTAATGATTCGATCTGTGCACAAAAAACTAAATAGCTTCTATTTGGCAACCACATATTGTTAAAGAGAACCACTGATAGTCCCATACATACAACGAATCTATGTGGAATGCCTTTAGAAAGCTAACCATTTAGAAAACCCTGTCTCCTATATTTACAGGATAGTGCAAATGGTAGTACTTATCATATCTAACAGTGAACAGGTAATCCAATCAACTCCCACACTGATTTTTTTTTCAAAGTTCAGCACATTTGCTGTCCAACAATAATGTGCCCATTTAGATGTGATCGCTTCAGAGTTTTTTTCCTTCTCCTTTTCCGTGTCTTTATCTGGTCTGCACTTAATCTAAACATCCTATTTCAACTGTGTAGGACAAAGGAAGCGCTGAAGAAACGTATACAACAAAGGCTACCCAAACCACGCCCCAAAAAAACCATGCCTCCTTCACACAATCCCCCACGAAGAAGTAAGATCCTCAAACGTTATAATACACAATTGCATACTATGGTACAGGCAAACATATACACAAAGAAACATATTTACTTCTATGTGGAGGTTCTTAATTTTACATATCATTTACAGATCCATAGCCAAAAGGAATTTTTTACCTATAGATTTCATCGTGTCATACATCATTTGCAGAGCCACGAGCGTAGAACCTAAACACCATATCCAACCAGCAGCAGAAGTAACCAAAGGTCCACTCATATTTCCTACATTATCACTTATTGTTTTTCTTCTTCATTGACTCTGCTTACACAGTGCCATAGTAAACAACTTCCTTGCCTGTTAAGAAGTATGTATATTTGGAACCAATATGAAAATAGCTCTCTTTCTAATGCTTCAAATATGGATAATAATATCAAAATGACCCTGTTCCTAATGCTACAGATATGGATGAACAAAAACGGCTCGTCATTTTGCAACATGAACGAGGCTATATTCAGTGCACCAACAGGACATGGCGACACGTTTGTGGACTTTTAAACGTTGTCACTCCTGTGTACACTACATGTTTATCTCCACGCTTTAAAATATTTGTGCTCCAAGTCAGATCAGGGTACCAAACAAATCCTTTATGTATAAGCATAGTAGCCATATGTGCAATAAGTCAATGACAATAAGTGATGCACATTATACCTTCAAAAACTTTCTTCTGGCTACCAGTCATATTCTCCTACAACTAAAAAGAAACAAAGTAAGACCACCATTTCGTGCGACAATCGTCGCTCCGTCGATCTACCCCTCCCCTTGCGATACCATGCGTCCTAATCTCCTACGTCACTGTGGCAGAACCTCCTAAGAAATCGGGCCCACGTGCACCTATCGATGTCTTAACAGACCTCAGATAGCTTACACAAGTTCCCAACAACTTAACAGGTCTGTCGGGTGTCCTCAGGAAACCCGAATCATCAACGAATCTTTTTCAAACAGGATCCCAATCACAGTCATTGCAGATTACAACAGTTTTCAATATACATACCAGAGATTATAAAGCAGAAGACTTTAAGTTTTAAAATTACAAACCAGTTGTTTCAAACTTACAAAACCATAAGTGTCATACAACCATAGTAGCGGGATAATATTACATTAACATTATTTATTTCACACAAACTAGTGCCTTGTCCAAAGGCCATTCATCATTCCTCATCGTCATCGACTTCAAACACTGACATGCAGCAGGGACCAAAACAAGCCTGCGCATGCGACTCACCTGCAACAAGGGTTAACAAACCCTGAGTACAAAAG